AAGTTGTGATTGGTCCATCAGATCCATACCAGAGTCACCAAAGCGCGACACGTGTTTGAAAGAAGATTTGAAGGCAGTTAGAATGTCATCGACGCCATTGCCAATGTTGCCAAACATTGATAGGGCCGTATCAATCGCATTAATGAGTAGTAAATGTTTGTTGGCCATCATTATTACTACATTAACGACATGGCACCATTTCCACTAGAGCCGGTGCCAATCCAAATGTTGACAGAACTCTGATGGTCTGAAAATCACTCAAAACCGACCTACAGGGTGTCTTAGGTCCATCTTGCCTATAAATAGCTCTTTTTACCTCATTTTAAAGGTCCGGACTTTCAAGGATTTTGAGCCTAGATTATGCCCAAATCCCCTTAGTCTTAATAAAAAACTTGAGGTTGAAAGAAAAGCTCAAAGGTGAACCCAATTAAGCAATCTCTATACCATCCAAATCCCTCAATCCAAAACTAAAACTATAAACTCCATCAAGCTACATTATCCATCGAAGGCGGTTCGAATAAGCAGATCTTCCATGCCCTCTTCCCCTTATTTCTACTTGCCCTGATAAAAACCAAAAAGTTCAGGATTGACTGTGTAACCAATTGTTCTGAAATGACGCCAACTCTCGGCTATAAGCCTAGGGGCCTAAACGTGTTTTCTCCCCTCTTTCATTATTTTCCTGGTATTTATATTCATTTGTTAGCTATGATTTTCTTCTTTGTTCTTCATTTTGTGATTTAACTTTCCCTTTTCCCTTCTTACAGCCCCTGCATTTATTTCTCTTTTGGTTATTTTTATACATTTTTACTTATTTTTCCTCTAATTGAGTTATTTATCTTCTCTTATTCTCTATTTATTGTAGTATTTATTACTCATAGATTAGTTATAATTAATCCTCACGTTCCTCTTTCATCTTCTTTATTACATGATTATTTTCTTTTGTTGATGGTATTTATTTCATTTGGAATTTTGTATTTACTTCTTTTCCTTGTTTCCTCTATTTAGTAATATAGATCTTCTTCTCTTACCTAATCTCTCATCTCTTTTATTATTGGATTATTTCTCTTTTCTTTATTACACTTATTAATTTGTTGTGTTTGTTTCTCTTTTCCCTTATTACCCACTTGATAATGTAGATCTCTCCCTTCTCCCATCTTCTTTAATATAGATTTATTTTCTTTTTCTATCATAAGCACTTATTTTCTTAGTTTGTTACAGTTATACCTATTCTTAGCTTTCTCCATTTGATAGCATAGGTTCTTTCCTCTCATTCCAACCTTTTATCTCTTTCATTACATGGTTGTTTTCTCTTTTCTTGTTTCATTTATTTCTTTTATTTCATTGCACTTGCTTCTTTTTCGGTTTTGTTCACTTGACGGTGTAGATCTTGCCTTCTTCTTCACTTTCCCAATCAAGCATTCACCTCTTTTTCTTTACTATCGATATCCACTCTCTACTTCTCCCTATCTTATTTATTTTAGCACTCTTTCTAATACTCTTCCCTTCTTTCTTCTATATCTATTTTTATTGCTCTCCTTGCAAGCTATCTGTTAGTATTAGTTTTCTATCTCCTTTTCTCCCGTTTTGTTCCCTTCTATACTGTATTATTATTTTTATTCTCATCTTGTGCTCAAATCTCTTTGTCTCGTCGATAGGGATATCTTCTCCTTTCTCCTTCATATCCACTCTCTCTTATCTTTAATCATCTCTCTCTATCATTTTATGCTATGCATGCTTAGTTTAGAAAGTACCTTATACTTAGTAATCTCTATGCTTTTTACTTTCTTATTTTTTTTGCATCATGTAGTTGGATTATTTACTCTCGCACATTCTTACTTTCCTAGTTTAGTTGCGTACTTGTGGTTCTCCTCCTTTGTTCTCTTTCTAAATCGCTTCTTCTAAAATGTCATTTTTACTTTCAAATCCTTTGTTGGGTTCCAAGGTCGAGACAGGAGGGAAGCAACTTTGTCGGCGATTTGAGAGGGATAAAGTCTTAGGACCCGATTCTCCCTCGGAGCGTAATTTGACGGGACCCGTACTCTTCCAACTCTTTGATTTGTTTGCACCTGAAACCAAAGCCGGGGAGAAGTTCCTTGCTCGCATTTTCGAGTATAAACATAAAGAAAATCGTGCCAAGCTTCTTCCTTTGCGGGTGACCGAGGTGACTTCGGTTCTAACAACTGAGGGCCTTGTTTAAGGGCTTGAAAACCCAGTCTTACTACAACTTTTGAGGGAGCCTGGTGGTAGAGTTGACATTCGTATGATGGGGAGAGAGGAGTTAGAGGGTTTGTGGAGTGGTAGGGAGAGAGAGAGGGTTATAGAGTTAAGGAGAGAGGGTAGGGAAAATGAGAGAGAGAACAGAAAAGAGATACATAGGGAATGGTTATTAGGGAGCTATGTACGAGAGGAGAAAAGAGAGCTTACCACATGTTTGGCAGTCCAAGAAGATTTGTAAATCAAGCTAGATTTGATTTACTTTAGATGTGTTAAACACGTAAATATGTAGAGGGAAAAACTTGTATTCATTCGCTATTATCAACATGTATATATACAATCAAGGGTGATTTATATAGCAAGTTATATTGCACAACAAGATATAGTATAATACATAATATACATATGAAATACTAAACTTTCTATATTTGAGATGGCACACAAAATAATCATATTATCTTCAACAATCTCTACATTCCCCCTCAAATTGGTTGAACAACATCATTATGTCAATGAGATGATGAGCTCGAGTTATTTTATTGATAAAAATATTTGCTAGCTGTTGTGGTGAGGCCATGTGTGAGAGTGTAATTTCTCCGGCCATTTATTTTTTCACGAATGAATTTGCAATCAGCTTCTATATGCTTTGTGTGCTTATAGAACACTAGATTGGAAGCAATACAAATGACGCTCATATTATCAGCATATAAAGGCGTAGGAGATCGATGAAGAAAATTTAGGTTGCATAAGGGACCTCCCAACGAAGTAATTTCATTGCAACCTGAGGTTATGACTTTTAATAATCATTATCCCCCTGTCCATAGGTAAACATATCATATTCAATTTAGAATCGCCTTGCAAGATTTGATTGCTAGTAATTGTTTTTAAATGTTTTCATATTTCTTTCATAGTGAAAAACCCTCTTATTGGCGTTCTAATATTGACATCCACAAAACTTAGGATCCATGAGACAATCATTGCATTGTTTATCTTCCAGTGTTGGGTTTCTTTGATGTTGGTTGGAGCAGGTTGGGGATCAATTCCATTGGATTCTTCATAGAGGTAACTTGCATAGCAAGACATAGTGCAATAATTAATATACATATGAAATACTACACTTTCTATATATAACATGATATACAAAATAATTACAAGATCTTCAACAATCTTTACAAAGATTTGTAACTTAAAGGATAAAGATTGAGAGATTATGTCAAATTGTGAAAGGTCTCAGGTTTCTTTGAAGATCGAGTAATGATAGATAGGGATAGGATCGAGTAATAACAGATCATGAATTGACATAGTGAAGATGAATCAGGCTTTGATACCATATGAAGAAGTCTCAGGTTTCTCTGAAGAGACTCAGTGTCCATTAATCAATATGAATATACAAGCTTGCCTTATACAGACAAATACAAATAACAAGAATAGAAATAAATCACACACTTATACTACACCTAGACTTATTATAAAATATAAGATATTGTATCTGCCTTTCCCATATATATTGATTACATTATACACCTTCCATATTAACCAGATCGACAATATATACTTTCCTTTCACACTTCCCCTCAAACTCAAGATGCTATGAGAGAGAGAGCAATTAGTGTTTGAACCATAAGTAACAAAAACAAGAAGTCGGATATTTAGAAGTTGGATCAGTAGATACGATATTGATTCCACATAAATCCTAAAATCCAGCTCCTTCTTCGACTTTGCAAACCTCTAGATGTCCGCTGCATCCACTAAGTAAACCACTTTTGCATTGTAATCTTTCCAAATCAAATGCCTCAAACTTTTTTTATGCTTAGTTCCTAGAGACATATCACAGGCACTATCGGTCTTCCATATCCAAGACAAGCATTAATACAATGGGTACCACAAGGTATTAGGGAGACGGAAATTGAAGGTTGAAGATGGGTACTAGGATGACGATACCTACGGATGTATAGAGAGAAACAACAATCAGACAAAATAAAATAAAAGCCAAGAGCCAACACCAAACAACAATGGATAGCAATGACAATGATTTGTGAATGACTTGATTGCCCAAACAACAACAAAACGACCGAAGGGAACTTAGATTTAGTCTTCCAGAATGCTCTTTGCAAGCACAAAAGATGCTCAATAAATCATAAAATAACACTGGAAGATCTACACCAGAAACTGAAAACAGTTGACACATCTAAAAAAACATAATGGGCCAGTAGCGGATAAGAACAGACAGGATCGAGCATTAGAAAAAAAAAAAAAAGCTTTGAATCTTTTTCAAAGATTAAAAACAGTCTAGTCAACTGAGAAAATAGAATGACACTCGGAAGAGCCAATAAAACTCGGTGCATATCCGAGATAGATTCAACTGCTCGCAGACCTTAACAGCTCACATACCAAAACATATAGGATCAAGTAATAACAGGGTAACAAACTTGAGTTTGTCTTAAGAGACTCAGAGTCTATTAATCAATATGAATATACAAATTTGCATTATATAAAAAAATACAGATGACAAGAATAAAATAACTCACAGATACCTATACTATACCTAGACTTACTATAAAATACAAGATATTGTATATACCGTTCCCATATATATTGATTACATTATGCACCTTTCATATTAACTTGCTAGATAATATATGATTTCTTTTCATGAAAATAAACCTAAAATCTCTTTAAATGATCTTTAAATTACAATTTCAAAGAAAAATCAGGATTTCCTTTACATACACGAATTCCCCAAGGACCCATCCTCGTGAGTAACCCAACCCAACCTAACGCGATTCAAAACCCCTTTTATAAATTAGGGTTGTCATAGCCCCTCGCCAATTTTAGGGTTTGGAAGCTTGGCCCTTGAACCAATAAAGCCTGGACAACTCTCCCTCTCTTTCTCAATGGAAAAAGGCCCAAGAAAGTACTTTTCCGAAGCACAAGGGTAAAAATAATTAGGGCAAGAAATAAATGCCCTTGCTGAAATTTTCTTTCCGATCCCCCCTAAAGCCAACAATTTTTAGGGCTTGTACTTAATGCCCCGTCGTTTGGCAAATGTCGCACGCAGAAAAGGGCGGGAGAAAACGCTTGAAAACAAGTCCTATGCGTAAATTGAAGATGGCCCACCTGTAAGTTTTCACCGTTAATCAATCTAAAACTCTAATTTCTTTCAGGGATTGCAATATCATGTCCTTTCTTTCAGGGATTCCAATATCATGTCCCTGCAGCTTCTTTGGTCTTTAAAGTTGAGCTCTAACAATGTCCTAATAAAACCCAAAATTTGCAAATTTTGAATTCAAATTTGGACTAGTTGGGTTGTGTTTCCATGGCTTATTGTATAGATGGGTCTCGCTCAAATCGCGTTGAAACCCTTCCTAGCAATTAGATCGAAGGTGTTCACATGGATATTGTCGGCAATTCTGACGAAGATTTGCTCAGTAAGGGCAAGATTAAAGTCTTGTTTAATCAGATTCTGAAAGCTGGTGCAAAAGGTTCACAAGAGAAGGAAGGTAGGCCTTTCCCTCCAATGGTTGGAGATGGGAGATCGATTGATCTCTACAGCCTATTTCTGGTGGTGTGGAAAAAAGGTGGGTATGATTCAGTATCAAAAAGTTGTGCATGGAGTTCAGTTGCAGATGAATTGTGCTTTGAATCTTCTTGTGGGGCTCCGATTAAGTTGGTATATGCAAAATATTTAAGCTTCATGGATCGGTGGATGGAGGCGCATGGATTGGACTTTAAGAACTGTTTAGAGGCCCTTGTTCATGGAAACATGCATAAGAAAAATGGGATGCATGCTTCTTGTGAATTAGATTGCAATGGGAAGGAGCTTCGAACTCCATCAAAGCAAAGCGCGTATGCTTCTCCGAAATTAGATTGTAATGGGCCCAAGCATGAAGCCCCATCAAAGCAACGTGGAGAAAATTTGAATATTTCTGTGATTTATGTCGACAGTGAGGATGAAAAAGTGGATGGGAACATATGTTCTCCTACATGGAAGAGGGAACCTCTAATTCTCATGTTGAAGTGGCTGAAAGGTGTTGCTAAATATCCTGGGGATCCTAAAATTGGATTGGATGAGTCAGGAAAGGGTAATCCCATTGTGGAGAAGTATAGGGCTCAATGCATTTTAGCTCGTAAGGCTTTTCTTCTTAAAAGAGAAGAATACTCGGGCAGTGGAGACTCTTTTGCTCAGGTAGTCCTGGAATGTCTCTCTCTTTATTCTTCCTTCTTTTTATACTCAGTGCTTGGAAAGAAAATTTCCTCTTGTTTAATACACATGTTTGGTTTGTTTATTATATATTTGAATTCCAATGATAGTTTTGTCTTTTTCCATATTGGAATGCTATTATTAACTGACGTAGCTCTGATTCCACTTGTTAAATCATGCTATGAAAATGAATTATTCAGAAAATGTGGCCTTGCATGATTGGATTCCCTTGAGAATTGGTCCATGCAAAATTAAATGAGAGTTAGATTGCTTGTTCTGGGGTTAAAACAACTAATAACCTCTCCAGTTGGATAAGGATGTATAAGTTTAGTTTAAAATAGTTATTTTCTTTGTAAAATGACTTGCTTTAGTGATGTAACATGGAGCACAAGTCTCAACTTGACAAGATTTAGTATACTAGGAATTAATAGGGCATGACATGTGGGTTTAAAGGTATTCCCTTTAACAATAAAGCCCTCTCAGATTTCCTAGGTAATCCTGTGCAACTCGGAGGACAAACACAAGTCTTTGATCATGAAAGTCATGCCTCTTGGTTTTTTTTTGGAAGGGCTGATACTTTGGAAAATAGGTGCTTGAAACAGAATTTATGTGGCACTATTTGCCTTCAATTCAACATAGTTACATGTGAATGGATGCAATCAGAAGATCGTGACTTGAAGCTATACATGGTTCCTCTGCATCTAGAGTAAATCTTTGGGATGATTCCTCACATTCTCTTCATATGCATCATTTAATTGGAGATAGAAGATGAATCAGTGGTTCGCTACAAATCTTTAGATTACATCTCAATTCATCTTTGAGTCCTTACATTTCCAAATTATGGACCCTAATTAGTTCTTTGTGTTCAAAACTTTCTATTATTTAGTGAACCTAAAGTTAACAAGAAAGAAGACCTGAATTAATCATATACAATTTTATCATTTTGTTGCATATTTAGCCATTTAATGTGTTTCTGATTTTGTCATAGTGCTATCTGAACTAAGTAGTGAACCCAAAAATTGGAGTTTTGACGTGGAAAATGGCATCACGATTGGAAGATATCCAAATCTAGTACTCCACGATACTAACTTGAGGTCCCATATATTGAGTTTTGGTCAAAATTTGCCTGGAGTTTCCTGCTCAGTTAGTTTAGTGGCGACCTACATCCTCAAGGTTCTTGTCTTCCTTGGATTTGGTTGTGCTAATGGCGCTGAGCCTATAATGAATTTGGGTCCTGCTAGATGTGGTCTGAACTTTGGTCTCAGCTGAATGGAGCACATTCGAATTGGCATTCAAACTTCTCCTAGGATAGATGGCCGAGTCAAAAGGAGCACAAATGAGTGACCAAGACTGTGAGTCTTGGTGTATGAGACCTGGCATTTCTTAAATAGATATTCTTCACGAAATTTTTCATTCAACATAGTGCATATATATTCCATGCCTTTGTAAATATCTCTTCTAGTGCTTTTCTCAATGCATAATATTGTAGCTTGATTATTTCAGTCTTCACATACAAACCATTTGTTAGGCTGCTTTTTGCTTTGTTGAAAGACTGAATCTTTTGCTCATAAAGTTTATAATTAGATTTCAATTCAATTATTGGTGAAGCTCCTTCAATAGATCCTTTGTGAAGAGTTCTTTGACGCACCTGATGACAATGCCATTTAGTTTCCACATAGACAGTGCCACAACTGGTTGCAGTTTCCATAGAATTTTGAAATGCATGCAAAATTCATTGTTGCTAGAGTTTTCTCCCTCCCCCCCTCCCCCCAAGGCGACTAATTTAGCTCAAGTTTTGGTGGATCCACCCTTTCGTATTACTGCTATAAACACAATGTTTGAAGGACTAAATCCATAATGGCCTAATAAGTTGTATGCAACCAAGCGACTAGTTGCCTGTGTGTGTGTGTGTGTGTGTGTGTGTGAGAGAGAGAGAGAGAGAGAGAGAGAGAGAGAGTGTGTGTGAGAGCGGGTTGTGTGTGTCTGTGTGCATGCCTGTGCGCCTTAATGTTTCATGTGCACCACACTCCTTTTCTACCTCTTATGTATTTTGTGGTGGCAACTCCGTCTCTCACTGATGGTTCTTTCCCTCTTAATTCTTGGTGGGAGGATTTTGCTCACATGATGCTATTTTATGCATTTCCTTTTTCACAGCCATCCTCTCTCACACACAATCCCTTTCTCCCTCTCATACCTTCTGTGGTGGCAATTCCGTCTCTTAAGATGCCTCTTTCCCTCTTATTTCTTGGTATAGGGATTTTGCTTCTGGTAAGTAATTTATAATCTTCTATAAATGTTTCTTGAATCACCATATGGATATGGGAGGATGTACTGTCATAGGCTCATCAATTTCTTTCTTGCCAACTTACCTAAACTAGTATTAAAAGTGAGGTTTTCTAAGGCTCGAGTATGGGTTTGTTATTTTACTTCCTCTTGAGCAAATATGTGATAAGCCTTTGAAGGTTAGCATTTATCATTGGTCAGATGCTGAATTTTTGTATAATTGTTTTCCAGATCTCACTTTTGAAAGCGCATCTTATAAATAGATGATTGTGGTTCTCAATATCCCATCTGCATAAAAAACATCTATTGCAACAATGTTTACCCCATCTTTGAGTTGTAATAGTAGTTGAGAACTAATAGAGGAAAGCTACCCAAGTAAACCTTGATGCTGGTCTGTTCTCTCATAATGCCTTAAGATTCTGTGGGTCCATGTTTCTTAATGAGTTCATGTACCTTTTCGATGATTTTTTTCTATAGTCATTTGGTACCCAAGTGGTGGTATCCTCTCTTCGACCTCCATGAGGAATCAACAAATAGGAGCACCACACTTTAATTAGCCTTCCACTTGGTGATGGGAGTTACCATGAAGCCCCATAATAGAAACTAGAAATTTTAAAGAGCCTTCCATACCCAAGCTTTTTATGATTTCATCCTATATATATCACAGTCCGGTCCATTCCCAATCTCACTTTGGTTATTTCCTTTAATGTATGGGTGTTTCTTGTGCAAGGGAACGGAAATGATAAGAAATTATCAGAATTTAGAAAATATAGCAATGGCAAGAGGAATTTTAAGAAAATAGTAAAGTTAAGTTTAAGGCATATGATAATCTATACAATAAATTGGGGACATGAGAGGTGAAACAGATGTCTACAAACTAGCAAAAATGAGAGAGAGGAAGTGTAGGGACCTAGATCATGTTAAATGCATTAAGAGTGAGGTTGAGATTGTGTTTGTGAAGGATGACGAGGTCAATGAAATGTGGAGAATTTATTTTCAGAAATTGTTAAATGACTACCATTTTGGGAGCTCATCGTTAGGAGTAACCATTGAAATAAATGAGGTTGGAGGTCATAGATACTTTTGTAAGATTAGAATATCTAAAGTGAAAGAAGCTTTGAGAAAGATTAAAGTAGGACAAACTTTATGACCAGATGAATGGTCATACTTTATGATCAAACTTTATACTAATAGAGGTTTGGAAGTGCCTTGGAGAGTTTGACATATTTTGATAACAAAGAAAATACCAGATGAATGGAGGAGAAGTACTATGGTACTTATTTATAAGAACAAAGGAGAGATACAAAGTTGTATGAATTATGGAGGGATGGAACTCATGAGCCACACTATGAAACTGTGGGAGAGAGTGATTGAGCTATGACTAAGGTGTGAAACGAGTATCATAATATTAGTTCAGATTTATGCTAAGGAGATCAACCATTGAGGCTACTTTCTTACTTAGGCAATTGATTGAGAAGTTTAGGGAGAAGGAAAAAACTTCTACATGGTCTTTATTGATTTAGAGAAAACATATGATAGGGTACCCAGAGAGATAATTTGGAGGGTGCTGGAAAAGGAAGGAGTCTCAAGAGGAGATATTGATGTGGTTATGATATGTATGACGGAGCACTAACTAATGTGAGGATAACTAGTAGAAAGACAAGTGAGTTTTTAGTGACAATAGTCCTACATCAAGGCTCAGTGTTGAGCCGATATCTCTTTTCTTTTGTTATTGATTAGTTAACTAGCCATCTATACGAGGACGTCCTATGGTGTATGTTGTTTGTGTATGACAATTTTGATTGAGGAGGCTAGAGAGGGCGTAAACATAAAGGTAGAAATTTTGAGGAATGCTTTAGAAGCTAAAGGTTTTAAAATTAGTGGGACTAAGATAAAATATATGGAATGCAAGTATAATAATAATAGAAGCATAAATGAGGAATTAGTTAAGAATTTAAGATTGATGGCCAAGACGTACCTATAAGAAATTATTTTTTATATCTTGGGTCGATAATCCAATAGAAAGGAAAGATTGAGAAAGATTTTGCTCATAGAATTAGAGATGGGTAGACAAGGTGGAGATGTGCTTCTGAAGTCTTATGTGATTGTATCATGCCAATGAAACTAGAGGAAAAGTTCTATAAGACTGATGTAAGACCAACCATGCTTTGTGGTATGGAATGTTGGGCAGTCAAGAAATAACATATCCATAGAAAGAGTGTTGCTAAGATGAGGATGTTGAGATGGATGAGTGGCAAGACAAGGAAGGATAGAATTTCGAATGAATACAATCGAGGAAATTTAGGGGTAGCTCCAATAGGCGATAAAATGAGATAAATTAGACTTAGGTCGTTTGGTCATGTGCAACGTTGACCTAGGACACCACTGGTTAGGTGGGGTAATTTGGTTCAAGTGGATGGCTTTAAAAGGCCAAGGATAAAGCCTTAAAGAACATAGATGGAAGTAGTGAGAAAAGATATGATGACTTATAGTTTAATTAAGTGTATGGTCTTTGGCAGAGTGAAATGGGTGGAGCAAGATTCGTGTAGCTGTCCCAAATAGTTTGGACAAGGCTCGTATGATGATGATGGGTGTATGTTTGTGCACACCTCTCAAAGCCCATGGTCCAGCACAAACAATTCTTCATTTCCAAATGTGACATATCCAAAATTACCTTCTCCTCGTTAGTTTTACACACGAGA